CGAAAAATTAATTCCCTTTTGGGTGTGACATAGGCACGTGAATATTTTTTCCCAATTTTCTTTAATTGTTATTATACATAAAAAATATACAATTAATGAAATAATAATCAAAATACACGAATACAATGAGTATCACATCAGGGTCAAGGTGTCCCCATGCAGATATGAGCATGGGGGTGGGGATAATATCCATTGGTGCCCTAAACCAGTGGTGGCAATTCCACGTTTATACTCATGGGAGAAAATCTTTGGATAGAACAACTGCTGTTGTCTGTCCACATTATGGTACTTATTTCAGCAACCCCCCCCCCCCCCCCCCACAAATGGATCATGGGCTGAGTATACCCTCGCCTCAGCACCCTTTCAATTACGAGTCCAACCCTGTTCCTCAACGACTCCTGGCCAGACACAAAGCGCCCCTCAGACACGGCGAGACAGATTTCTGTTGACCGATTAAAAAAAAATGCAATTCTTGCGGCGATTACAGCGTGGCAGGCAGGGTAGGGTGTGATGGGAGCCTGCGCCAGATATTTATCGCAGCTAATGAACGACGGAGACTGGCTTGCTCAGGCATCGTCCTGGCCCTGGCTCCCAGCCCAAAGCAGCAGTGGGAACCGCCGTCGTCCGATGTGAGTCTCGTCTGTGATGCCGGGCTTGGAGAACGGCAGGATTTTTTTTTCCCCCCTTTGGGCTTTTTTTTTATTTAATGGAAGTTGTGAATAGCGAGGCCCAATTCGCCGTTGCCGTCAGACAGCGTGGCAGCTTTCCAGCGAGTCGAGTTCTGGCTCGGCTTCTGTCACTTTGAATTGCTGAGGCCGAAGCTGGGTGGAACAAAAAAGAAAACCTGTATAAATAACTAAATAAAGGTGCTTACAAAGGGACATTCGACGACATCCTGTAATTGAGGATCTCTGCAGGGATTTTTGGCGCCAGAGGTAGAATTTGTCTTACTGCCTGCTTGGAGTGTGACCAAGCAAACATTTGCTCATTCTTTGTTCTCGTTGAGCTATGGGCCTGTTATGTGCCTACCACTAGCTGTCCTTAATGAACAAATTAAGCGGCGTTATGTATACTGTGCGGTATTTACGTCGCTTGAGGTCGTTTGTGGGCATTCGACTCTTGTTGTCGAGTCAAAGCGACTTCCTGTTCAAATTTATGGCCCACCGATGCTCATCGCCAATGGTGGCACTGAGCCAGCATCCTGGTGGAAACACCACATTCCTATGGCAGGGACAAGTCTCACCATCCAAACATGCCACTGATCTCCCACGAAGCGATATGCAAATTATTTCAGACACCGCAAATTGGGTAACGAGTGTGTGTAAGGAACGGCGTATAATATTGTGGTTGCTGAAAACGCCTTAAATAACCCAGATGGAAAAATAAAAATCTACGCAGTTGAAGCAATTTCGGCGCCACTAATGCAAACCTTTGCAGAATGTGGCACGATCATGTTACATTGTTACGCGTTATTTTGCGCCAGCGTCGGCGGAGAATAATTGGAAGCAGTAAATTGTTTCATTTTAATTTTCCTTTCGCAAAGTATACGTGCTAATGAAGGGAACCCATGAGGTGCTTAGCAAGAGGCTGGCTCCTTGCCAGGCTGCAGCAAAGGGAGCGCGGGTGCCTGTCACTGGCGTGAACGCGTGATTGCTGTGGGCTTGCCATTTTCGTGAGCGTGTTGCACCTAACCTGCATTCCTAATGCGTGTCCCTGCTTTCAAAGTCCGTGGAGAATAACTCCTTTAAAATTTTAATATATATATGGAAAAGTCGGTGTATTCAAATGCTGTGCTTTCTTTTTTTTATATGGATTTTGTTGTTGTTGCAGGCACCGTTTTGTATTATACGAAGGAAACGTGTGATTTAAAAAAAAACAAGTACACGTTGTATATAGTTGTTTTTTTTTTAAATAGCACCATTCGCTGGATAACGTGGTCAGATTTTAGCAGGTAAGGTAAAGCGTGCTTTACCAGCTGAAAAATGTCAAGGTGCAGTCCTACAATCGCTCGCTCACGCCACTGCTGGCAGAACGACCTCCAATCGAATCGGCTCTGAGAGAGCCCCTTTTTGAAAGTGTTTGGACTTCTCTTGTAGGCTGGCCAGACCTTTTGTAAAAGGTGGGAGTGCTGACACTTTACCCCATCAGGCAGCAGGGGGAATGAAAGAAATGCATCTCCATTGTTTCAGCTGCCACGCCTGGAGATTGAACTGGCGGCTTCTGGGTCGCACGTCCAGTGTGCTAAGCATTACATCCACGGTAACATCATAATATTATGTTTGTGTAGAAATTGAGTAAGCATCTCTTCCCGATCAAATAAGCACGGAGCTGTGCTTATTTCCAGTTATGGCCCTAATGTGCTGGTATTAGAAATGCTCCATTCTTTATGGGATGGGTCTGTCTCTTCGTAGCATAGCCACCATTGATTTCCTACCTACGATGGGCTGAGACGACCCTCGACTGGAAATGTGAACTCGCAACTTTTCAATCACGAGTCAAGTTGCTCAAGCCGCGGTGCCGCCCAACAAATCCGTTCGAACGATAATGTTCGAAATAAGAATTGCCTCCAAACGCAATGTAATCCATAAAATGGTAGCTGAGTGAAATGAGTGCATTTCACGGATGTGTTTTTTTGCTCCACATCTGCTTCATACCGGACTCTTGATCCATTCACTGCTGGACGCAGGCCTTCCCATGTCATGTCAGTTGTGGCGGTTGAATGGCCATACTTCACCAAGCTGGTCAATGTGGTTTGGCGAGAGGGAAGTTTGCCTAGGAATGGTTCAGATATAATTTGCCATTCGAGTTAGGCGTGGCCAGGACTCGAGCCCAGGTCACCGTGTCCGTAACGCAGTGTGCTAGCTACTACACGGTGACGTCCCCACGGCGCTTGTGCCAGGCCAGGTGCACTCCGTGTCCACGCGAAGTGTCGGAGGGTCGCTTGCTGGCAAGGAGGTCACGCGACAGCACCAGGTTCCATGGGTTGACTGACTGAGATGACTGGCAGATGCACCGCCGATGCGCGCCACACGGACACGCACACACGCTCCATGTGGCTGTGTGTGTATCGCCATCGAAATGGCAGCGTTAAAACTGCTTCAGAGAATTGTTTTCAAAAGACGACGCGTGTCTGCAGTATGCAACACCCGTGCTCTCAAAAACGATTCAATTTCTCGGCGCGGCAGTGAAAACATTCTGCCTAGCTTCTTAAATTACACACTCCCCGCCCCCCGCCTCTGTCCACCCAGCAGTATAAATGGATCCACCGAAGTAAGCCAATCGATCGGCAGGTGGTGTCTGGCCAGCATCGAAGAGTAGGCAAAGCATCTCACTTTTTTTATATATATAGAGGGGGGGGGGCCCTCTCTTGAGCTCGCTCCGTGCGGTATCGCTTCTGCCGGCAGCGCCCCGAGAGTGGGCGATTGCAGGGCCGCACCTTCGCCTCCAACTGTGTGCCCCGCCAGCAAAGCGTACGGGGAGTGCCGCGATCGGAGTGTCCTCCACCCCCAGGCGCGCGCCTGTTGGAGGGAGTCCAGAGGCCGCCTGTCAGGCGCGGGCGCAGTGGGAAGGGGAGGGGGAGTGGAGCCGGCAGCAGGAACCACCCGGGGCTCCAGGACACGTTGTTCCCACCATGCCCCGGGACCCCCCCCCCCCCCTCTCTGCCACTGCCTTTGTTTTTTGGTGTTCGGGGCAGCGGTTCAGAGTTGGTGAGAGTTTATTCCTCAACAATGCTTGTCAAGGAACGTGACTACCTCTCTGTGTTGACTGACTGAATCTGCCAGTCATCGCGGTCGGTCAACCCATATGGCACCCGGGTCTGTCCCGTGACCTCCTTGCCAGCAGCGAGCCTTCGACACTTCACGTGGCCTTAAAGCGCACGTAGCCTGGCACAAGCGACGTCACAGCCACTTAGTGACAAATGGCGGTGGTTGTTGTTGTACTTGTCCGTTCACTCCTGTCTGCGGACTCGAGATAAGATTACTGCCGTGTGGCCAAATTTACTTTACCTTCCGTTGAGTCATTTCCCTGCCGGCTGCAAATGTAACAGACGTATTGCGGCTGACGAGAATGTCTACGCCAGGCGTACGTTTCGAGGCAGTTGATTATTATTTACGTGCATGTCCAACGCATCGTGCATTTTGACAATTGCCCTCGGATTAAGTACTCGGGAATAACTGGTTTTACGTTGCACAAAAGTGATTTGAAAAAAAAAAGAATATCAACGTACCTGCAATGCAGCGTCTAATAATGTTTCTCAAGCTCCACGTGAAATGACAAAATCTGACAATTTCACGCGACAACTTCTGAAGAGAGACAGCCTAGATAATACGTTCTGAGGATATCTATGCACAAGTAAAAATCTGCCAAGTTCTCACAATCCGTTTGTGGGTGAGCCACAGCACCGCATTCAAGGTCATACCTCAACTATGGCCACATCCTGTCGGATTATAGGGCGCTCAGGGTATGGTCTAGCGATGCTATGCTTCTCTTGCCGCACTTTATATGTAGGTAGGCGAGTAGCAATGATTTGATTCGTCGACTTAAAATCGATTCTCATGTGCACGTTATATGTTACGTACCACACCTCTGAGATGTAAATATTTACGGTTGTGTGAACTCTATGGAGTGGAAGGTGTCGGAGAGGTAGCACACCCAGGAGATGGAGTGATGAAATCAGTTCATGTACAGGTGCTTGGTGGAATATTACACGGCAGGATTGTGAGAAGTGGTGGCGGTAGCTTGGGGAGGCCTTCATCCAACAGTGGATTCGACCATGGCTGGTGCTGACGATGAAGATATCAATGACAAAATATGCAAACAAATTATATACTTCCTCCCCCATGAACCTATGACATTGTAGCTTCTGAAACCAACACAAAAAAACTGCGAAACGATAAAAACGAGACAACATTATTCCTGAATGGAATCGCAACCCTGAATCGCATCCCAGTTAATGACCCCTCGCCCCACCGCCCTCCCCCCCTCCCTGCCGGCCACAGACAGCGAGGACGGTGTTGGCGGCCCTCCGGAGGGGCCCGAGGAGGAGAGCTCCACGGCAGCTAGCGCGGGGAAGCTGCCCTCGTTCTGCGTGCTTCTGCACGGCAGCCTCAAGGTGGAGGGCATGGTGGCTCTCGCTCAGCTCGGGTGAGCGCTCCCCCCGGACGGGACACCCGTGCCCAGAGACGCAAGCGGGTCTCGCCTCCGCGATCGTGCTCTACGGCCCTTCGACGTGCTTTCGGGGTTGTACCGCGCGTAGCTCGGGCCTGCTCCTCGCGCCGCACGTGCCGGGAGATTGTTGGGGAACTCGTGACGGAGAAGCTTCCGGCACGTGGGGGGGGGGGGTGGGGGCGGGGGGGAATGTCAAGCCGTGGTGCTGAACGACGTGCGGTACTATCCACAAACACGTCGGAGAGAGCGAGCATCGCAGGCTATTGGACGTGAGTTTGAAGCTTTGTCGCGGAGAGGGGAGAGGTGGGGGGGGGGGGGGCACTCCCCGTGGTGCGACCGTGACGTTGTAGCACATTGTGACCTCTCTGACGTCACCATGGTGTGGCCACGTTACACGGCTAAGTGTTGCGTTGCTGATACGTGAAGACAGGGAGAGCGTCATTGGGGAAACCACGCTGCCCTTATCATCTGTTTACGCTCGAGCCATCTCGTGTAACTGCACCGTATCGGTGGAATGGTTGTTCGCGAGGTGTGCGATGAAATCAACGATGAGTTCGATTCCCAACCATGGCTGACTTCGGTGACATGAAATATCTGAACTAGTTTGAGTCCTCCCCCTAACTAATCCACACTGACCAGCGTGGTGAAATATGGCCAGAAAACCCTTATGACCGACATGGTGTGGGGAGTCCTTTATCCAGCAGTGGATTGACAATAGAATGGAATACATTTATATTACTTTATTCGCAGCTGCATAGTGAGATACAAGTGAAACATGTAAGACTTATTTATACCCTCAGTGAGAAGTCAAAGGGGCTCCTGGATCCTGTGCAACTCCCATTCACAAGTTTAGACCTCCATGACCCAGGATAAATCATGACTTGCACACACAGAGGGGAATTTGAGACCTCTAATAGCGGCTGCGCAGTGCTCTGTGAAGCCAAAGCCAGGATTTCAGAGGTTAAATTGAAAATTTATCTTTACAGAGACTCGATTGAAAATTGCGGCACTTCTGCAATTCGATATTGTTTTTTATAATTAAACAAAATTACATCTATTAGTTTCTTTGGGCAGCGACTCGCTTTTAAAATTCACACTTGCTCAAACAGCTGCCACCACCATCAAATGTTAATCTCTGGACAACAACACTGGGCCCCGTGAAACAGTTCCAGATGGCCGTCTCTGTGGCAAGTTCAGGATTCATTCGATATGTTCATCTCTTTCTCTTGCTCTCTCTTTGAAATAACAACACATCAAGAACGTTATATTGTGTTTCTTGAGTCTCGAGTTGGTGAGATATGTTTAGTAATGTAAAAGGACATAGACGCATTGTCTGCATTCCATGATTGACGGTTATTATATTTATTACATGTGTGCATGTAAACTAAATTACTGAACTAAACTATTTTTTATTATACAAGGTAAGGCCCACTGAGCTTTTTTGCTCTATTTCAGAAGTGACCTGGCCACAAATGATAACTCAACCAAGTGCAGGGGCGGAGCCAGGGGGGTGACAGGATAGACAATTGTCACCCCCGAAAAAAAATAAAAAATCTGAAACATTCTGCGTATAAGTGTACGACACTCGGTCTGGCGGACTCCGTGCAACTGCATTGTCAGAGTGTGTCGCCAACCGATGGCGTCTAGTTCAACAGCCTGACTCTCTTATCATTCTTGAAATTAAAATTTATTGAATGTCACCCCTGGCTGAAAATCCTGGCTCCGCCCCTGACCAAGTGGCATATCATGTGAAAATTTATTGCAGCCCAATTTTCGAACGCTTGTTTCTAAATGTGGAGGGAAAAACCACGCGACCACAGGGAGAGCATGAAATCTCCAAATATACAGGTGTCGGGGTCGGCATCGAACCCACGACCTCCTGAATACCAGGTGAGGGAGTTAACATCTCGCCACCGTGGCGCCCCGTGCACATTGGCACGGCTCCTTGTGATGTTTCATAAAAAAAATCCGATAAGTGAAAGCAGTTGCAGTCGTTTGACCGTGCTTGGTGTACTGAATACACACACACATACAAACTGCTGTGGCTTTCATAAAATCTGCAGGTAAATTCGCTAAAAATGAAGCTTTAAGTAATTGCCACGTCTTTTCCTTTAATCTGCATTAAAATTACACTTAATCTCAAACAGAAACGCTCCAGGCAAAAGCTACACAAATTCTCGTCCTTAAACGGTATTATTTTCTCTCGCGCCATGTACGGCAAATGCACTCCGTATAATTTTGCCAAATTCGTCCTCAGCAGCCGTTTAGAATGGCGCACCTGGCACTGGGCCGATGCACGCTGCGCTCAATCACCGGCTCGCACGGGGCGAGGTGCCTCCGTTGCTCTGTGCAACTACATACGCCGCATGCCATCTGCGGACATTATTTTCACAAAAAGACAAAGATCCCTCGTGTAGACCTAACAGACTGTAGGGGCAAGTGCTGTTAGCGAGCATCTATGAAGGTCAGAACGGTACACATATACACACACACACGCGACGTTTATTTCCACAATCGTACTCAAGTGCGCGCGCTCGCTCAGTCCCGCGACGAGAGCCGTATGTTCCTCCCTCTCGGGCGTTGGCCCCGGCTTAGCAAATTTCAAGCCGCAGTTTGGACAAATGTGGACGGCTTCTTGCCATCGCCTTTCACGATGTAAACTCTGCCGCTCCCTTCTTGCGTGCACACTTTTCTGTTTCTCATATCACAGATCCCGGCCTCATGCTCAGTCCCCAGGGCGGTGCGTCCCGTGTTTGTCGTCACGCCTGTTATAAGACAACCGCGAGTCAAAAGGCGGCATTGGTGGAAGTGCTTTTGATGGTCGTTTAAATTATCTTTTCACAAAGAGCCACGGGTAGAGCGCGCCCGTGTGCAAGTTGATTTTTATTTTCCAATTATAAACCAGCGGCTTCCACCAGTTTCATCTTTTGTTATCGGTCAACGGGCCATTAGCGTTGACGAAAAAAAAAACCGTTTTATGTTACTTAATATGCTTCTAAATGCGCGCAAAAACAAATACACGGTTGCAATAAGCAGACGTTTGTTTTGACGGCTTGGCTTATTTGTGCAGAATTACATGGAGCCGATAAGCCTTTTTTAATTGCATGACACTGCTTATAAAGGGATTATCCAAGCATAAAAATAATCTTCCGTACAATGCAGCTGCTCAAGATGCTTTTTTGACTTTCGGCCAACTCCCGATTGTAGCTGCTGGTGGCCGCTCTCGAGGCAAGGGGTGGCACCGGATGTGGCCTCTGCACACGCTGAGCAAATGCTCCCTTCTTTAACGCCGTTCTGTAAATGTTGTCTCCATCCGAGGGTATTTAACGAGGAGGATCTCCCATTCCGCCTTATCGACTGTCGGGCTGAGTGCTGTTGGCGAGCACCTTTGAAGGCTGGCACCGGGGGTGATGTGGCCAACGCAGGCTTTTTCTGTTAAGCACTGCTACTTAAGGCTGAGTCCACCTAGAGGCCCAAGACGGGTTTGATGCTCTGCGCGACCGATGCCGTGCATGGTTAGGTATCAAATCACTGCCGTGAGGATTGTGGCGCAGTGTGATAACAAATGCGTTGCCGACACAGAGACACACACAAGCTTGTTTATAATAAATGCAGTCTTTTTATTTCCCATTGCCTTTTTAAAAAAATCCTTTCACGTACAGCCTTTAATCCATCCATTGCTGGATGACGTCCTCTCCACTCCGTATCGGTTATGCGGGTTGCTTAACCATTCTTCACCACACTGTTCAGTGTGTAAAGAGCGGAGGCCAGGACCGGTTCAGATTATCATTGAGGTTAGTTGTGCCTGGGAAATGAAACTTGGATCGCTGTTTGTTGGCAGCGCGGTGCACTCACCCCTGTACCACCACTACACTCCATTGTCATTCGTGCGGTATTTTCATTTTCTTTCGTCAGATCTCGAAGTCATTGAGGGGCATTCCATATTCTTTTGTACAGCCGACAATGAACTGTCCAATTTGCTTGAGCTGCATGGCACGATATGCTTTTGGAGGCTTGACGCTGCCCTTGTACCATCTGTCGCCTTATAAAGCCATTATTAGAATACTCGTTGAGCATGAATGTGTAATATGCCATTTCCAGTCTGCTCTGACATTAGATTTTGAGTCGCTAATGAGTCGCACCCAGGACTTTCATGCTAAGAGGCCTAATTATTTAATTTGCAAAGTTTGAATTGTGCCTGAATGTAATTTGGTCCACGGACTGTTTCTCCACATTTCTCGCTTTGAATGTATTCCATCACAACACGGTACCGCATGTAACTTGTCGAACTGTTTAAAGTCTGGGCCAGCTGGCGCCAATAGTCACGTGGCACCACATATCTCATGAGTGGCTACGGAGCAGCAGGGTGACGTCATCATTTAACTCATTCAGGTGCAGTGATTTGAGGCGGAGGGGGGGTACCCGGGAGGAAGTGGAGAGGGCTTTACGATTCTGGAGAATTGCCCGATGATGCTGGATGTAATTGCCAGCGAAACGTCGTACTCAAATTTTAAGTGATGTTGATTCACTCTTCAACACACCGGTGGGCTAAAGTAGTGAACTATTTTGTCCTTTGTAAACGTGACACATTTTTTACTGGTTGGCCGTGTCGGCTGGTGGAGGGTTACGACACATTTATAAATAACGCGATCTAACCCAAAAACCTTTATTATGAATAATATTGGTCGCGAAAGCCTACGTGTTAAACCAAATAGATTCTCTTCGCTGATGATATTGAATGTTGAGCGTAAATATATACTCTTTCCCACTCGTAGGCCTCACATGTAATGTGGGTTCACGTGACCCCTGCAACCACAAGAGGCTGCTATATTCACTTGAGGCAACTAAAAAAATAATAATTTGGAATTCATCCTGGACCCAACATTGCGACAATTTTTCAAAATCACATGGGAATTGTCACAGGCCTATTAAGCGGAATGTGCTAATGAAGCATTTTAACACCGATATTGCATGTG